CCGCCAAAATTTTAGTAAATTTTCGCCTCCGCCCAAAGTATGAAATTTATTCTAAATCATTTTTAACTTAGAAAAATAGTATTTTTATGATGCTACAAATTAGAAAAACATACTAATACGAGAAAAAGTTGTGTATCCGACTACTACCGTATGGTAGATTTGAACAACGGATTGTTGGATCTGAGATATTTCCAGCACAGACGGTTGGGTCAGACAACTAGACTGTATTATTGGTCTCAGTATTTACTGTAGTAGATCACTTCTTCTTGTTTTTCTAATTTTATGGCATCATAAAAATACTATTTTTCTAAGTTAAAAATGATTTAGAAAAGAAATAAATTTCATACTTTGGCCGGAGGCGGAAATTTACTAAAATTGTGGCGGAATTTCTAGCGCCGGAAAATTACTAAGTGGCGGAGACGGAAAATTGCGCACGACCGAAATGGCCGCATTACGAATGATAACTAATCGGACTCTTTTCAGTCTATATGCATGAGTCCATATAGATGATAGAATGCTTCGAACCAGGATGTGCCTTTTTTCAGAACGTATAATAAATAAAAATAGTATACTTACAGGCCACAAATTATTCACAGATGAAACGAAATACTCACATCCATCGATTCAATGAATCCATTCGCCTAGGAATTCGTCCCCTCAAATAAACATATAGAACAAACTGTAAATCACGATCAAATTTTCTCGTACTTAAACATGTAGCATCAAAAACCGAATTGTGTGAACATCCTTAACGAATGGTTGTCAGAAGTAACATTAACATCTGTAATAAACAAATGGTCTTCTCATAATATTACACCTATTTTTTCGTCGAATAATCATTTTTCTATGCTATTATTTCAGGTTAGTTGTTTATTATCTCATCTCACTGTTGCGATATTCTACATTATACTAACGAACGTACTCCAACAGTTTTTACCGAACGGCCTTCACAGCAACGACAACACAAGTTATCGATTTTCTTCTTATTTGGAAGGCAAATGTACGATTTTCTTTCAATGTGGCACTCATGATTCGGCGATGTCGCACTTGGTCTTGATAAAAATTTAGAATACATATTGGTTGAGCAGTTTAACAACATTCAAAATCAGATTGCTGCCGATGTATTTATTCAAAATAAACGTGCACTATAGTCAGATATTATTCGCGATCGTCAGAACAGAAAATCTATATTCGATCATCTGTACAATTATAATAAAAATCTCATTGTAATTGGTGATCTTAATTCAAGAAATTGTCAGCGGCATGATGTTAACGTCAATCAAAACTGAAAAACACTTGCAGATTGGTTAGAGAATCACTCCAGTTTGAAAATTCATAACAATAACATGAGAACATCTCGGCGATCAAAAGGTATCATCGATTTGTGTATAGCACCAGTAAATATAACAACAGTAGAGGCAGAACCAGATCACTCAGCAGCCGTTGATGATCAGTTTTGTTAGAATGATGTGTTGGAAGAATAACAGCCGTGCTGGCACAAACTGTTCGAAGAAATGAAAAACTATCCTATGAGTGCTCTTTTATTATAACCTCCTTTGCCCCTGCCCCCATAGGGTACTTTCTGAGAAAATTTTGCCTTTCTTGCGGGACATAATAGAAGCCCCCTGGGCTTCTAATGTGGACGGGGGTTTACAAAAAATTCGAGCTGGTATTGCAAGAAAGATGTACATACAGTAATTTAGTTAAATGTTACAAGCCGTTTTTTCCACAATATTTTGTAAATATTCTAGCATATCATAAACAGGTACTTAAACAGTACTATTGACCAAAAACTGATGATCTACACAGCTATTAAAACAATCAAATTATTTTATTCAAAATGAGTATCACAACATCAGAACGACGATGTGGTAAAAATTTTATTTCAGACTAGAAATCAAAAACACCGAAAAATTCTGGCGGAAAACTAAAAAATTATTTAAAAAATGTACATCATCAAAGAAGATAAAACAATGATCACCGGCAATAATACTATGCTAAATCATGCACATGATTTCTATTCTTCCTCTTTCGGTCGTCACACTTATGATAGAACTTTGGCAGCAGATATAGAAGTCAAAAATTTCATCAATGACTTCGAAAACAAAATAAATAATTTACCGCCGATGCCCTTTTCTTTACGACTAACGATTTAAGTAAATCTATTAACTCATTGAAGTCAATAAAATCAGTAGATTCAGAAAAAGTGTCAAATAAGCTGATCAAAAACATGCTAAGAAATCATTACTCATTTCGATAAACTTTATTTACCAGTAAATATCCGGAGCACTGGAAGCAGGCTAAGATGATTTTACTACCTAAAGACAAGTCCTTGTTACAGTAGATAAGACAAGACCAGTTTCTTTTTTGTCATGTAGGAAAAGTCTATGAGAAAATGTTTATCATTTATTTAAGAAGATGGATGGAAATGTTTGCTATACTACCAGTAGAACAAACAGGAGTCCGTCCAAAACATTCAACAACAACAAGAATAGCACAGTTCCTTCAGGACACAACAGCTGCTCTTGAACAACAAATAGCCACTCTTGCATTGCACATAGATTTCTCGAAGACTTTCGATCAAATATGGTAGGCTGGGTATAGTTTGACGGTTATGTTGTTTGTTACATACTTCAAGGTACTGTGTTCGAATCTCGCCGCTAGCAAAGTCATGTAATAACCTTGGGCAAGTTACGTATGTTACAGACTGCAACATACAATACAGCTTCTCCGACTAGTCCTCATGGCTTTCCGGAAATTCAGTACGTGGTTAGTGAGGTATGTATGGAGAGCTCAAGTAATTGGGCAAAAGAAGGTCTGCAGCAGAGATGCAACTAATCAGTACTGCGTAGATAGGTGTTGACCGGCCCGCTCCCGACGTTAGAACTGCTGGCTGATTGACCGACAACTTTTGGAAAAATTTTGATTGGTAAGAGACCGATACTCGGATTTTCCAAGATAAGATGATAAGTCTTCTTAACAAGAAATTAAGACTATGTAAATCCCAACATTTTCCAAGATCCATTTTCCCCTAGGATTCTCTCTATAAAAATAAACTTCAAACTTCCATCTCCTTCGGAGAACGAACGTGTCCTTGAAAGTTTTCACAAAAATATAACAAACTTATCTCCAAGAAAGTGTATTCTTATTCCGATATAACTAAAAGTTGATATACAATTTTATCTAGAAAATATCTTTCAATTATTGCTTTGTGTTCTTTGTATCTGAAATAACACATATCTACGAAAAGTATACAAAACGGAGAAAAACTTCACAGCAAAATCCAAAAAAAACACACCATTTATTTCTCGTTGAGTAATCCATTAATTTCATTTTTATCATTTGTCGATTGTCTAATTTTCACGATAGTTGTCGACGATGTCGATATATAATCTTTATTGTTTCGAGTATAATGATGATTTGGTAATAGTGATAAATTTTGTACGGTTGGTAGTGCACTTCCTTTAACAAACGAACGATTTTGTTCATGTAATATTTGATGTTGTTTATTTTTCCAACGATGACATAAATTAAAAAATATCAAACGGCGAAATTCATTACGAAATCGAGCACCGCTAACGAAATAGAGAAAAAAGTTGACAACATGCATCAAATCACTGGTAATATGTGATATCAAATACATAACCGCTGATGTTCTCACATAAACGTCTAGATTTTTATGCAGATATTGATCACATTTGACCACTTTCCAACTTTCAATTAAAACTTGAAATAATATTAATAAATAATAAATTGCGTTTGGTAATGTCAAAACAAAAAAACATATAGAAATTGTTATGAGCATAATTGTTATTTGAAGATTTTGTGATTGAATACGTGCACGTGAATTCAATACATTCATATTTGGTGTTGTTGGATTAGTTATTATCGATTGATTCGATGTACGGAGGAAATTAGATGATACACGCTCTTTAGTAACATTAAATTTTGGTAATGACGGAGGCGATGAGGAATTAGGACGTAACATGAACGATGTAGAACAAGTTGATTCAACAAGATGAGACGCTTCTCGTCTGGCTTTTAATAAGGCAAAAAATATTGCTGCATTTAATATTGAAATCACAACAAATGGAACAAAACACCAAACAAAAGCGTCCAAGATAAAAACAAGTTTCTCATCTTGTGGTGTTTTTAACCAACAGTAACTATTATTTTTTAATGTTGTACGAGATGCGTGAACACTTGCAACGAGCATAGAACATATAATAACAAATCCGACAACACCGTACGCTTTTTTTCGAGACAATAAATCGGAGACACGTAATGGCATACATACAGCAAGCAATTTATCAGCATTCATAGCAGCAATTAACCATACTAAAATCGAAAGCAATTATTATTAATGATAACAAAAACAAACACTACTTCAAGTTACACTAGTTCAATCTAATTGAACTCATTCTAAATCAGACGTATATTTGTACATTCTTATATTGATTAGTTTCTCTTATTCAATATTAAATGTTTAGTTCCTTATCTATATGATTATATTCATACCAGTTGTATAGTTGACCGCATTTACCATTAAAAATAAAAATTTACACATTCCTGCAGTCAATGCAAATTTTCCTGCGGGTAAATTCGATAGTTCACCAAATATCACTCTCATGGTAAAAAATGCCACATCGCATAAGGCTAATACTTGCATATAGAATGCAATGGATGATGATCGATTCATACGTGTTCGACGTAATATATAAAATGCGCATAAATTCAATATAATAGCGGGTATAATAAAAAATCGATTCGAATTTGCTGCTACCGTTCGAACAAAATTATAAACAGATTTAGTTTGTAAATAATTATATTTGATAATATGACATGATAAATTTGACGATGCATTTATCGATGATGATGATACTGTGTAATTATCGAAAATTGTAAAATTTGACTTGTTTGACGAAGACATTTGTACATATTAAAATAGAATAGCGTTCAGAAATTGTTCATTGTAATATGACATTAGTATCGAAGCATTAGTCTAAAACAGATAGAGAGTTTGAGATTTCATTCAAACAAGGGAAAAAAGAAAGAAAGAAAGAAAGAATATAATTTAAAATCAAGAAATATTTTCATAAACTTGGCACGTAGATGATAAACACATCTAACATGTAGATACAATAGTATAATAAAAACAAGATAAAAATTGAAAACAGATTCTGTAGAATCTAAATTGACTGAAATCAGCACATGAATGTTGAAGATAAGAGAATGGTATCTGATTTTATTATTATGACTGATTCTCTTTGAAAGATAATATTCAAATTTATGAGAATTCTCTTCCTATAGTACATACAACTTTTTATGCTATCCTATCGTTATATGCAAAAATTTTCAGGCGTATTAGATCACTGAATGCTTCATTGAAGTTTGAAAACAAATAAGATGGACATTGGAAATGCATCGAGACTTGTGCTAGATACCGAATCATCCTGGTGCTTCGTTAAATATACCCTCTGTTTTTGTTGAGAAATTTACAGTAGATTCATACCAAGGATTTGATTTGATTTTAATTCTAACTATATGTTCACTTTTTTGTCAGCTAAAGTAATACTGAACACGTTTATATATACAGAAAAACTCATTCGTACTTCTCTGTTAGTTATATTTACAGTCAAGCGAGTTTACCGTTCATTGTTTTTTCTCTGTTATCCATAAATTATAAATGACATAGGAAAAATCGACTTTTAGACAGTCACATTTACATGCTGATAGTTACTAGCTATGTTGTATGTGTCAAGAGAAGCACGATCGAATTGAAAAGTTATTAAATTATATGATTTATTAACGACTCTACTCGGCTAAGCTTTAAAGAGAAGTTAAATCTGGTAGATTTTTCAGTTTTTATCTTCAAAAATCCATTATTTCTGTGATTTTATTTTGACTTATGTGATTGAGCTTTTTCCGTAGCACACACGCGACATGGAATAGTTAAAAGGACTCCTTTTTGTTTGGCCTTTCCCATCGAAAAATTTATTGCACCTATTTTCCTCTTTTCTAAGTATTTCTGAAAAAAACTATTTTACTTGCATTAAAACGCGTTCGTGTTGCTACAGTGAGTTTAATAGCACTCAAAGTCCTACACGGAAATGACCTTAATGTATAGATTTGCACGCGGAAGGTTATCGACCCCATCTCGAGTGCTTGTTTGCGCCCGTTATTTTAATGTTGATATTCTACACAAAATGTACACTATCAATTACTATCAATTCTAATTAGAAAAGCAGGAAGTGTATTAAAAAATAAGTTTGACAATCAATAGGATTACTAGTTTCTTGAAAAAAAGTCAATAAACAATACTTACAGCTCTTCACAGATAGACTGTTTTCTGCATAGTTTATAGAGATAAACAAAAATATCGAAAGTGAGTGTTTAAAAGTCATATAATCATTCCAAATTCATAATATATGTCAATGTATTACCTTAATTTTTATCTGTTCATTCCGTCTTTATGAGAACAAATTGTCATGTATTTTACCAAACAACTGTAAACAGATAGAATTTGAAAAAGAATTCAAAACATGTCACTCTCCTCTTTATTGTTTGTTATTCTTGCTGTTATAATTTTGTTAAAATAAAAATATATACAAAAATAAAATAAAAAAATTGATTTACTATCAAGTACATATTTTATTACTAACAAATAATTGAGAGTATCCTTTTTTTTAAACCTGTCTATACCGAAGGGAAGATCTTGCTTAGATTTATTCATCTTTTGTACGTCTTTAAGTTTAAGTCTGCTTTTCTAAGATATTCCAGTGCCTTTAAGGCATTCAAAATATGTTAAAGACACTTAGATGCCTTACATTAGCCACCGGAATCAATGACATAATGCATTCGATGTGTCTTGACTATATATTCACGGTGAACACATTGTGCATGGATAAAATGGGAATTCAGGCGTCCGCGTACGGTCTCATGATGCGTTTTTTCTACAGAGATAGTTTCTTACTAGCAAAAAATGAGGTTGTTTTTAAGACTGACTTTTTGAGTTTTTTTGATAGGTTGTTTTTAAGGTTTTTTTTTTCTTCTTGTATTTGAAAAAGAACCGTGTTATTGTTGTATTTTTATGCTAGTATAACATCCCCAACTGTAACTGCCGAAATAAAAAAACAAAGAATAAAGATGTCTTATTCACAATGTAGAGAAAACGTGATTAATGACAATAACCATAACGTTTGTAAAGAATTTGCCACGTTTCTATCCAACTATCCGACTAGACACTGTTTTTAAGTAAATACGTCATAGAGTGATGAAAAATAAAAATCTAAATTATCTGATTGACTACTCTTTATGTTCTTTCACTCGGATAGATTTAAATCTACGTTATAATTTACTATATATTATTATACTGTGGGTGTTTTGATTTTCTTAAGGAAATTAGGCGTAATTATATACTTACTCGTTAGTGGACAAAAAAGAGAGTACTATTTTCAAATGTCAGTATATTTTTGTTGTATCAAGTGATCCAGTATAAAGGGTGGTCTCCATATTTTCTATTTAATTTGAATCCTTTATACTTCTCCTTTTTTTGATATTATCTTATGATAAATCTTATTTTTTAAGTTACATAAATATACAAGAGTGAACTGTATCAAACTGAATTTTTCAATGCAGCCAAATGTGCTCTTTTTTCGATTAATGAATGAATGCATAATAATGTTCTTTCAAGGTACAGAGAGTGACTTTATTGAAATCTATTAGAAAACAGCAAAATTTTAATTTTTTTACTCAAGATATTGGAAGAAAGTTATAGATTATTTTCTCACGCTGCTGGTAGTAGTGAACATTCAATTGAATACTTTTTTTTGTTGAACAGTTGATTCTCATAGAGAAAAAATGAGCTTTGAGCAGTGCTAGGGACTTGAGATTACTAGTAAATACAGAGATCAACATTTAGTCTGGATTATCCGACACAATAACAATATAAGTCAAGAAGATCTTTCTTATCATGTTTATCTTTATCAATGACACAGGTAAAAATCATATCAGTTCACATAGCTTACATTTAATAGACTTTCACCATCTTAAAACTAATTTAACGAATCAATGGATCAGTGACCGATATTTTGATTATTTTTTTACTAATAAAGTGATATTCTCTTATTTCTAAGAAAATACTTCTCTTGTAGTTAAATAAAAAAATAGTTTACTTACATACTCATCGTTAATGTAATGTAAAACTATAATTTAGTCATCACTTCATATTAAAATAGACTTTACATTTTATTAAATCTTAAGTATTCTGCGCACCTCTGCTTGAGCCATCTTTCTAGTACACATTAACCATTAATTAATAAATCGAATAATAATTGATATATATATATATAAGAAAAGCGTTGATGTTATATACAAAATTATTCTACTAGTTAAACTCGCAAAAAAGCAATCTATTTCACGAAACTTGAAAAATTCTTATTTAAAAAGGAATATCCAAAGAAAGATAGAAATTCATTTTACATGTATTTTCTATTCATAAATATTTCTTCTTTTCACTTTATCATATACTCACTCTCATTTGTAACAACAATATAACAATAAGCATCTATCTATCTAGCATCTTTTAAAGAACAACAGTTGACACACAGAAGACTAAGTGGAATACAAAGGAAATTGGGTAAAGGAAAAAAGGGAAATCTAGACATTTCCCTGTTCTGCTTTTTCCTCCTGTCTATCAAATAAAATGGTACAAACAAAACACAATATTTCATTCCTCTTACTAGTTCGTACCACCGTCACTAATTATAACATAATGAATCTAGTTCTTTTCTGCTGTTCGAAATAAATATGTATACTTTTTTTATTCATTATATGAATGATTTCATTAGGATTCACAAGAAAGTGTTTCTATTTTCTTTCTTTTTTCTGTTTTTCACGCTTCAGAAGTGAAACAAAAAAAGTAAATAAATGAACCGTGAAGAAAATTTTCATTTGAAATAATCTGTTCATCCCAAAACATGTTTAATGGTAAAGAAAAAATATGTTGTGAGAAAGATGCGTCTGTTTATGGATCTATGTATACGAGAGGAGCATACAACTCAACAATTGCAAAATATTTTAATCTTGAAGATAAAATTTTGACGAAAAACGGAAATGATAGTGAAAAAAAAAAATGAATAATGACTTTTTTTCCGAAAGGAACTAAGCTTCTATTCATTGTCACAAATGCATTTAATGAATTTAACTCTAACCTCACTATAAGAGAGAGAGAGAGGAAAGTATAAAAACATCTAGAAAAGAAATACAATGAGGTATTTAGTGTGATATTCCATTTTCTCATTAAACGGCAAATCGTCTAATAATACCCATCGCTAACTGAGATCGACTTTTTTTTGCCATTCTAAAGTCTATTTCGCCCAAATAACATGCAATAGATCTTTCTCAAATATAATTGTAAAATATAGTGTAGAAAAAAAAAAAAGAAAGATATTTCACACTATTTCTGTTATATCACATTATTCATTTTCTTCGCTTTTCCTCTTTTCAATTACGATTAAACTCTTATAGTTACCAGATGGTACACAAATAACAAAGCGAGGTCGGTGATGGTTATTTGGATAATAAATATGAACCGTTTAATATTGACTATAATCTTATCGAAGCTAAAGGGGGAATCTCGTTAAGAAGTTTAAAATTCTCATAAAATAATAAGCTTTAAAAGTACCTTTTTCTTTTATTAAGCGTGTTCACCATAATAGCAATGTTACACTTTATTTTCTATCAATTCTTTGACCAAAATGAACGATATGAAATAATTAACTTCGAATTAGTAAACAAAACTCATATATCTATTTCTATAATCAACGTACTGTTAAAAATGTAAGATCAAAGTGTTTTAGAAATAATTCATTATTTCGTTGATAGACGAATAAGTAAAAGAATAGAAAATAGAAATGTACTATGATCGAT